AACAACATCAAATTTTCTTACAGAAAATTAAGTTCCATTAGTTAATCAGAATACATGTATTCATATTATTTTGTCCCAATTATAAGTAACTGAATTTGTTTAATTCCTGAAATAATCGTAAAACCATTTCTACATTTGAGTTTATTTTCATTTAAATTAAACGATCGAACACCTTGTCCTTGCTTCCAAAAGTCCAAACAGTTGACCATAAAAACTTATAAGTGATTGAGCTGGGACAGCACTATATACCCAGGGATACATGTATGAGCTTTCAGTTTTAATAACTCATGAAGGGATACGTCGTGCATGCACATAAATTTGTACTACAATTTGTACAAAATATTCTCACACAAAAAAAAATTAGAAACGCTTATTTACTAGTTCTCAAATCTATGTCATACTATCACTCACGTTTTACACGGAGTTTATGAAGTTAACAATAAATATTTATGCTAAGCTAAAATTGCCATCATTCCCTATCTATTGTAGTCCTGTGGTTATACACTATTTCCGCGGTTGACGGTGCCCTTTATTGAATAGAAATTTTTGTAAATACATTACGATTATTTAAAACAAATAACAGTTTAGAAATTGAGAAAACAATAATTGAATATATTATACATGAATGTAATGATATGAATCCATAGTTTCAATGTAAATACACCAGTTGCCATGCGCTCTATCAGGTTCGCGTTTTTTAAAAGGTATAAAATGTATGCTGCAACCCCGTACTCAATACCTATTAGGTTCTTTCTGATTAAACACATTTCTATAATTCTAGTTTTAATTGAAAAGTATGATCATTCACTTTGCCATAATGTGATTGTTTTTGTTTATACCTATAAAATTTATTTTCAAATTAAGAATGTTGTAGGCATGAAAATCCTATTTTTTTTAAATCCTAAATCTGTTTTTTTTTTGTTAAGGTGACGAGATTCTTATTTTCAAGCATTCAAGTGGATGGAAGGAAACATTGGAATTTCTCTGTTTTTTCAAGTTCCCACCTTGATGAAAGAAAATAGATTCAAGTCCCCACTTTCAAAGACATAAAAATTCACCCCTCCTCATCAAGTTCTCAATACTAATTATTCTTATTATTATTCACTCTTCAGTTACAAATGACCAGCCTCCAATCAAAATGAAACAACTTGATAATTTACCAAGGCAGCCCCTAATTTCCCTCTGTTTGTAATTATATAGTAGTTATATAACAGCTCGAACTAATATTCATTTCGCTATTGTTGTATGTTTTCCGTTATTCAACATGATGTTCCTCTCGATTTATCCTTTTCACTGTTCCTATACATAAAAATATGGTTGTCTTTGTCAAAAATATTTTCGACAATTTCATTACAATTTTAAGACAGTCCCTAACATCGTCGATCATTGTACTTCTATGCATAAAAAACACATTGATGGGAACGTCAACAAATTACAAACAAAGATATTAACAAATAATCCCGTGAATTGCATCAACATATTTTGTTATATTATTTGGCAGGAAATTGTACAATGGCAAAATTTCATGCATACGGGAAAAATGTCAATTTTGCAAGGTATGTTGGCAAGTATAAAAGCATTTCTTTAAAAGATGACATATTGGATAGGGCAAAAAATTTGCCTTGCATTCTGCCACCGACAGACCCATAATTATGTAATAACAAAGAATCTTAACTGTTCAGAGAGTGTGAAATTCGTATGCACTGTGTGACGGGGCATCGTTTTCCATATTAAGCGGACATGACTGCGTATATATACATCCAGCACATCCGAACTGACGACCACTTCAGCGAGGGATTTACTTCCTGATGAGAAAGGATCAGGCAGTACAATCTTTATCTACACCGGCAGTCGATTCATTGGGGGTTGAAAGAAGAATCGTATAATTTAGTTCATATACGACAATTGTTACGACAGAAATGTAAAAGTATACTCCTCATGCAGGAAAAAAATCATTTTATGGAATCCACCTATACCACGAGACAAAATGTGCAAATATCATTAAAAGAATTTAGATATAGCGTAGATGTATGAGATTATGAAACAAATATAATGATGAACTATTTCTCCATAAACCAAAGGATAAATATCGTATTCCATAAGAGATTCTTGATGTTCGTTACGTTATATTGAGATTGATTTATATGATGTTTAACGCCACTTTTATTACTCTGTGCGAATCCAGGTCAATTGAGGTCAAAATACAGCCACGAGCAGTCTTGAAAGGCTCAGAGTGAACATTGTAGTTGAACTATTTAAACAACTCGTCCATCTAGGCCCCTATTACGTTACAAAATTCTCTTGAATACTATGAGATTTTGTGTATCTTTGACGTTTTCCTTCGAGTTTGATTCGAAAAAATAATTAGAATATAAAAACAATTTCCAAAAAGTATGCACTTAAGTTTGTGTAATAGTTAAAAAGTACATGTCCTATTCGCCTTCATCACCCCCACCCCCATTATACATCTTGCTACAAACAGAATACCGTTTCAATTCTCAATTTTATATAAAATAAATACAAAGAGTGTCACAATTTCCCGACGGTTACAAAATGAAAAATTAAATGAAAATTGCGACGGGTCTACAAAAGACCCTTATCGCCACTTGTCCTTATGGATTGACCAAGTTTTCAATTGACAGTTTTTTTTTACAATAAAATGTCAGTTAAAGCGTGTGTGAGGTTAAATTTTGGATTTAAGTTACTTTGAGATCACATCAAAATGAAACTCATGATGCAGAGAACTGTTTAACAAAATATGCAAATTAAATATGGATATGTATAGTGCGAATGGGGGATTGGTGTTCTATGGACACATATTCATGCACCATTTCTTGTTAATGCATCGATTTATTTATTTCACATTAATGATTAGCAACAAACTGCTGACTGGTTCTGTAATTAACAAAAAGTTATAGAGGGTCTGAATGGAGTTTATAGAAAAGAGAATATAAGGGGCTAACATTACAGAAAATGGATTAAGAAAATAAAGAATCGAGAAAAATAGGCCAAAATAATAAGGACAGAGAATAATGTACAGAATTAAGAATAATGTGCAAAATTTAAAAATTTAAAAAGAACACAGAAAAAATAAAAAAAATAAAACAGATGAGAAGGAAACCCCGCGACGACCCTTTTATATTGTTGATAAATCTTTTTATAGTTCCATTGAATTACGGCCATAGCACAATCGTAAAGTATTTAAGGCAAACGGGTGTGCATCAGCGGGAGTTAAGATTCGGCCTTTATAGATACGCAAATTAAAAATATCAATTAACATGACTAGAATGAATAAAAATTCTTGGAAAACTACAACCCCCAGATACAAAAAAAAAAAAAAAAATACGTAGACATTTAGGGACTTTTCATTTTTTTACCTGGGAGGGGGGCTGGTCAAAATGTAGGGGGATCAAGTTTTTTCTGTAAGTGGAAAAGGGAGGTTCAATTTTTTTTATAAATTTAAAGTGGGTGGATAAATTTTTTGGCACATAAATAAGTAGTTTACATATTTCAAGGGGGTTCAAAATATATTTTAAGTAAAGAAGGGCATTACAAATGAAAATATAGTTTTACCACCATTTAACAAATTTATGTTTTGTATATGTAACTCAAAAAATCAAGTTCATTGGCAGTGCTGGATCCAGGGGAGGGTTCTGGGGGTTGGAAACCCCCTTTTTTCTGACGATCAATGCATTTGAATGAGGTCATATAGTTGGTACCCCCCCTTTAGCCTGGGTTAGGACCCCCCACCCCCCCCCCCCCCCACCCACCCACACACACACACTTTTTATAAATGGCTGGATCCGCCCCTGACTAATCACACATTAACATAACCCTCAGGACCTAAAAGCTTAACAGTTATTTAGTTTAAACAGTATTTAATTCAAATAAATTGAATTAGATTGGGCAACAGGCATAGCCTATGTAAGCCCTCTCTTAACAGTTATAGAGTCTAACAAATCAGACTCATCTGAAGATTTAATTTCCTCATCTCCTATACCTTGCATTTCAAGAGCTTCATAAGTGTCTAATTCTACTTGATTTTGATTTTCATCTGATTTTTCAAGCGCATTAAATTTTTGCATGGGAGATTGAATTTTTTCATGTAAAATTTTTTCACCATCTCAACTGCTTCCGTTTTAAAATAATCCAAAGCAGAGAGGTTTCTAAGATGATAAAAACCCCTAATGTTCCTATTTGTTTTCAAAAAGATCCCTATTGGTCCATTTATACCTCTAGCTAATGTCTTATGTTGTCTTGTCAGTAGATTCCTCTTTTAAAAAAGCCTAGACATGCATCAGAATCACAAGGCTTAACTAATTTTATACCAGTTCATTTATTATTAACATTTGAAGATACGTATAATTTCGTGTTAACCATTTAGAAATTCATATTGATTTGGATTCAAGAAATGTCAAGGTCCTAATGAATTTGATTGTTTTTTTTTTTATAACTTCATCATTCTTCAACAACAGCAAAAACAGACGCTCGGCTTGAAAAAAAACACCACCAGCCAATTTTTTCTAATAAAACCAAAGCAAAAAAACATCTTTAAACTAGACGGGATACTTACCATGTTTACCTCACAAAACCTATTTACCATACAAAAAAACCATTTCAAACTACGATGATATGAATTTTCTTCCTGGTTTTGAAAGAACGATTCTTTTTTTAGACAAGAACGCGGCTGTCAAAGAAAGCACCCATTTTTCATTGTAATCGTAAGTTTACGTTACGTTTACAATCACCTTTGTGAAACACTCGTAGGTAAAATCTTACGCTTAACGTAAGTTTAATCGTAAACGTAAATCGTACGATTCTTTGTGAAACGATAGCCTGGTGCCTTTTATTGGTCCTATTATGTATGGATTCTACTCAATGTTGAAGACTGCAAGGTGACTTGTAGTTGTTTACATCCATGATCTTATCATATCATGAAAAACGCAACAAATGAAGACTGCATAGGTAATACTTATACTCCCTATGGAATTCTTCGATGTTTTCTTGACAAAATACTGTCTATTGAAACAATCCTTTACAGTATCACGATTCATACAAGAAAAGAGGAAATATTTATACTGTCTACTAGTTATAATTTAATTATTCTGATTGTAGAAAATAATCATATCCATTCCACTGTGTAAAAAGAGTCTGATTCCGGCCAGGTCACTCCAGAAATGTGAAAATCTTGATCACAGGTCTGAGTAAACATCTGTGAAATAAAATCAAAATTAATGCATGGCATTCATACGTGAACAAAAAATAGAGAACTGGTATGCTTGGCCTACATTTGTAAACGCTATCGAAAAACAATTGTTCTGTATAAAATTCACCGAGAATCATCTGTGTCATATTTTAATATGATGTGCTTCTTTCGCTTTGCAAACAACAGCGTGATAAAATTCTCGATATATCTATACTTAACTAAGACTCAGAGATGTACATATTAATGGCTGTTACTATTTACCTCCCACGTAAATCCACATCTATCGTAACCAATGTGCAACACTGAGTGGATTTCGTTATGTTCAAATTGAAATTGAAAAATAAACTACAGAACCGTTATTCCTATTCTAATGCATAACAAAAAGAATAAATGCATTAGATCTTAGAAAATGTATGAAATCAAATAAAAAAATAAAATCCGCGAAATTTCATGAATGATCTTGGTGCATTAACGTCATGTCGAAACATGTCATGACGTCATACGAATGAAAACTCTCAAGTTGAAGATTATTCCGTTACTTGTACGCTCTAAATTAGGATAATATCGCATTACAATGGAGTTTTAAGGTAAGTTTTGTTTCATTTTCTATTCTATTCTGTTCTGTTCTGGTATATTCCTCCGTTTTATCGGAGCACTCCACTTATCGAATGCGTATTAAAATTTTAAATACTTAACCGAAAAAGCGGATATTTTTATATTTACGATATGAAAAATATATAATTTTAAAATAAAATTAGTTAGTTAAAGTGAATAAAATAAAAGTTTATAATGTCTTTGATGATATTTTAAAAGATATTAATACAAAAAAAAAATAATATTATTCACACGTTACAAATTACGGCACTTTGATTCACCAATATGAATAAATAAAAATTTTACAACCTAACGATTTCTAGTCAATAGGTGCCCTGCCATTCTATTGCATCATTCGCATATTCATGGATTTCAGCAAATCAACATGGCGGCTCATTCCTTAGTTACGATATGTCAACTGTGGATTTGACAGTAAAAAGTAGCCAACGAAAAAAAAATGTTTGGGTTAAGAATCATAAGGATTGAACACATTTTTTTTCTAGACTAAGTGGTTATTTAAGAAATTTACCATGCAAGCCTCAGATTTATTTGAAATTTGTATCTTTTATCTTACAGGGGGTAAAATAAAACAGTCATACACACGGCAATAGTTTTTCAAATTATCGTATTTGTCCTATTAGAATCGAAATAATTCATTCAAACCATAGATTTGTTATCATTTTCACATGGCCTGGGCTATGTGAAAATTTCCAACAAATCTATGGCTTGCATGAATTATTTCTTAATTAATACATTTCACACACACAACAAAAAATACCATGCACATCATGATTTTAGAGATGAAGTGGATTGACTTAACCTCCAATCAAAATCATTTGAGAGATATTTACAACAGGTCAGCTGTTAGAATGACGGTGTTTAAAATGGAAAGTTTAAAATTCGAAATTTAAAGTCATCATTTTTGTCGTGAAGTTTAGTTCAGATGTTTATTTCTATTTTTAGTCGCAGCTCAATGTATAAAGCAGACTAATCTGTCTTTTTGGTATAACTTCAAGTTCATAGACCCGATCAAAATACTCATCAATCAGTTTGATAATAAATCATTTTTTTTAGATATTAAGTGACCTACAATCATGAAACATAGTATAGTTGATGCACCTATTTCATTGTCAGTTTCTTACAATATTTTACGTTTAATTGCATTGCAATACCTCCTATAAGAAACAGAAATAACAAATGTACTAAACTTCAAGGTATTTTGTAAAATGTTGAAATCGATATAAACTGGTTAATTGTAAGAGACTCTTCTTCTTTTGGCGTTCTGACTTGGTACATGTACTTTCAAATGAAAGTTGATGCGAAAATGATTGAAAATTCAAACAATCTTAGATCTTACATTATTTCAAATATCATTTTAGAGGTCAAGTATTAATTCCGCTTCGTTAACGTTGGTTCAATACATCTGACATTAAGTAAGATAAACAAATACTTTATTGTCATATAAACACATAATTGTTTATAACAAATTGTAACAACTGAATTCAAAATAAGTATATGTTATAAAATTCTGCCTGTACCAAAGTACTGAATATTAACTTATGATACCATTGGGGACTAACAGCCCACCAGCATCTGTATGGACTCAGTGCTAGAAACTGAAATAAACACTTAACAATTTTCGTGTCTCCGACACGCTTTTCATCAGGAACGCTCGAACCTAAAAATTCGGAAGCCAGAGATGCGTAAATATGTTGCAACGGTAGGAGCTTTATTACCCAAAAGGATATAAAGAGTTTAGCCAAATACATCAATGGTCAACTTGCCTGAGGTAGTTGTAACCTTAGTTTTTTTTTTTAATAATTTCTTAATTTATGAACGGGGAATGTTAAATGCGTATATGCTATACATTCTGTCAGCACCGAAGCAATGACTACTAAGTGATGATACTATCGTGTACTAACAGTGTACCAGCAACCACGTTATCGACCGAGTAGTAGTACCTGGAATAAACAGAGTTTCCAAAGCGTTTTTCTGGATTTACCAATTTTATTCCAAAGATAACATCACAGTAATAAATCTGATATTTTAGTCACATGTAACTTGCTAACTGGATTTTCTTCGTCAGTTATGCATCCGATTAATAAGTTGCCTATACAATCGATACTCAAACTATATGGGAATTTTATTCCAAATTGTTCTGTATTTTGTAATCCAATGACGTCCCCTTTCGCATTTAACACATGCAGAGTGCTATTATCAACGTCTGAAATTATGACGTTATTACTCGGACTTATGACCATACCTTCCGGGTTAAAAGAATCGTAAACTGTGTTGACACTATGATAACCTTCATATATGAATTTAAGATTACCAGTTTTATCTATTCCTACCACATTTCCAGTATGGTTATGATTTTTCCAGTTAATGATGTAAATCATGTCATTGGAATCTGTAGCAATACGAGCGAGGTAAGTAAATAGTCTATTCCCCGATTTATCAAATTCAAATGATAGTTTGTGTTTATAATTAGAATCAAACACGGCTAATTGTCTCTTTGAGTATTCTGTGAGATCATACTTTGGACCATTATCCCGAAGTCCAATCATTAGATTATCGTCCTTGGTTAGGTGAACAGCTAGTATTATCATCGGAGGAGCATAGTACAGAGTTCTTGTATCATCTTCTGTGGGCATTCTTATCCTCAATTCATGCCCAGGACGAGGTGAGAAAACTATGTCGCCACGACGACTCAAAGCAAAATCAAAACATTCAATATCGTAGTTTTGCTGAACTTCCATGGAATCTTTAGTTAGTTTGACCTTTGCGAACTTATAGTGCGGATCGTTTGTTATATGATTGTAATACACCATTCCGTCATTAGAACACTCCATGTTGTGTATCCCTTCCAACGTCACATATCTGTTCAACACTGATATTATAACTTGTGATGTAATGGAATCATGGCTAACAGAAATAAGGTCGTTTTTATGCTTCCCCATATCTTCAAACAATTGTTTAATGTTTAAGTTTACCGTTTCCGGATAGTCGATCATGTTTATAAATAAAAAAATTGCGTCAATTCAGCTAAAAATTATTTTTAGAATTAGAAAATCAATATTTTAAATAGCAATAAACTTAGGTAAACATCAAATTATAAACTATTTTTTCCAGATAGCGCATGACATGAACGGATAGGTAACTAAAAGACCCTCGGCTGATAAATAGACCCACGAAGGTTCGCCTCTTCTTTGTTTTAAGTGAAACTTTATTTAAAAAAACACTGTTATATACAGATCAAATCGTGAAAGCAAGTGGTAGATTAGAAATCAGATTATATTCAATATCTATGTAGAATCCCACCACATTAAATACTAATAATGAGATTCACAAACAACTCTAAACAATTTTCAAGTCTAGCGATATCATTAAAAAAGTATTAATAAAAAATACCAAACTCTAAGACAAATTCTAAGAATGGAGAAGTTCATAAAATCTGACAAATTCAAACATTAGACTTTATCATCCAACGGAACAAATGGAAAACAACTGTCATTTTCTTGATATTTACTTGAGGTATTTCCCGAAGAAAATGAGAGGCCTGATGGGGGGGGGGGGGTCTCATCACGATTCACGAGTTGATTTTTTTGTCAATCACGATTCACAGAAAATAAATTTCAATGATCACGGATCACGAAAATATAAAAAAAAAAATAAATCTGTACAAAAAACGGATCACGATAGTGAAAATGCGCCGATCACGAAGAACGAAAATAACCCGCCAGGCCCCTCGAAAATGGTAGATTAAAACTGCCTTTAAAGCTAGCTAAACCTCACACTTGTATGACAGTTGTTTATAGTTACGTTATATTGACAAAGAGGGAGAGCAAATTACATTTGGTTAATGGGACAATAATTGGGGCACAGCATCGAAGACATAGAACAAAACTGACTTAAAAAATCTAATAACATACAAATAAATAAAAGCCGCCAACCAAACAGTTATTGCATTTGATAGTAAATCTGACAAGGACGCCAACAAAAAAGCTGCAGTTCATTAAATTATTCTTGATTTAAAAATCAGTGAAATGAAAAGTAATTCTGATAATAATCTTTTGTGAATATTTAGGGAGGATTGTACTGATGGCAAATACATTATCAGTGCATATAACTTCTAAGAGTTTTTGAAATTAATTCATACTTTATCATATTTTTGATATTTAAATTTATCTGACTGAACTAAAACCGCAAATAGTCAAACTTACTCATTAAATTTATGAATAATCCGTACATATTGTGTAAAATAACAGGAATTGTTATTGCTTTTGAATAAAGGTAGATGTCAGATATATCATCAATGAGACAGTAACCCAACGACCAAAAGACAATAGACATTTAGAGATTGACATAGGTCATCATCTTTGACAAGTTTCTGCTATGATTCGGTATATTTTCAAAATTGCTCTTGTTACAATTTCCTTCATTAAGTACAAGCAAATATGGTAGAAATGATATGCAGCGATGACATTGTACAGAAATTCTTATCAAATCTTGATTCAAACCCATTCCATAATTACTTTCCTTGCGTAGGTACTGTATTTGTTCGTAAGATCTAGAATATAACGAGCAATAAAATATTCTTTATACACTGCACTTAACTAGTACATTTGCCCATTTCACTTTTTTGATTCGAGCATCACTGACGAGTCTTTTGTAGACGAAACTCGCGTCTTGTGTGCAACATTTAAATCTAGTATCTATGAAGAGTTTATTTAGCACAACTGAAACTTTAATTTTTTCATATATTTACCTCAAAGCGCTCACTTCCGTCACACTTTATGAACACTCCACTGTTCACTGTAGCTACTCCATGATGAAACTGTGCAACTGCAGAATATTTTGGCAAAGTTTGACAGTTCTGAGAAACCTAGATGAAGAAATATAAATACATGATTAAAATCGAGTATGATCATGTCTTCTGGTTTTTTCTAAGATCGTGTTCATCGAATAAAAGAAACTACCCAGTGGTTAAAATAAGGGATAATATATGAATGCATGTTATATAGAATGACGGCACTCGTATGAAATGCTGGGAAATGAAGAACAAAAATTGCAAAGAAGTGTCAACCCAATGCAAAAGTCATGTGTCCCTGTAAGTGATATTTTATCTTACAGACTGCATATATAAACAATATGTGCCACTGATCGTTAAGGTGCCACCAACCAATCACCAACGAGGAAAAAGGGCGTCATTAGATAAAGGACCATTCGGTTAAGTTTATTTTACTTTGTGAAATTTTCAGGTAGCTCTCCAATGTCAAAATGCTTATGTCTCTGCGTCAAAGTAAGAGTTGAGAGTTCAATTAAGTCTTTCACACGATTGACATAGGTTCAACCGGTGTTACGCATTCATATACTAGGTATTCGAAATTGGTCTTATATTCAATTTAGAGTGGTACAGAACCAAGGTAATATGATTGCTTCGCACTTTAGAAAACAAATATTGATTCATTTAATAAGAGAATTGTAAGAGATTCTGTGGTAAAAATAATGCATAATAGAGATGCCCGCAGAAGCAATAGTATTTATACTTTCACTTGTAAGGTTTGCTTAGCATTTATTTGCGATGAATTAATCAAATGTTATCTATCAACTAATGTACCAAAGTTATTTTACCTGAGCACCAACTTTCCATTGGTTTAATGGTTTGGCCGAGCAATGCTTAAATAATATAGCTTCTGATTCTGCCAAACCATTTGGGCATGTTCTAGCATTAGTGTGATTAACTCGATTACCAGATGCAAGTAGGAGAATTAATTCAAGTTCATTGCAGACAACATATTGGCGAGCTAAAATTAGATTAAGATATGTACATTACATACGACAAAGAAACGGATACAAATTTATGGTTTTGGAAGGAAGAAGAAAAAAAAGATCTCGTTGCTTTATCGATTGTTTTAGAATATTTCCGAACAGTATCTTTTGTTTATTTAAAATCTATTCCTAATATGACAATTGGCCGTTTCAGAATCTAATGCATTCTGCGTAATATTTTCAAAAGCAAACACCAAAACGTTGTGATTGGTTTAAGGATGTACTTAGGTTAGGTTTTGGAATAAGTGTCAAATTTTCGGACTCCTTGGTGTTTTTCCATGTTATAGAAGGTAAAATATTTTGCCCCATAACACCTTTTCATCTTTTAACATAAGACTTAATAGCTCATAAAAGGTCATTTGACAAAGTTTAAGCAGATTCTTGATTTTCCTCCTTTTGATTTGAGACCCAAATAATACCAATGCAAATATAAGGGAAAAGTCCGCGTCAGCCTTTTCCCGCCATATTTTATAAATCAAATATCTCGAAAAGGAGCTCCATGACCTATCAATATTTTTAGTTTATTTTGATCCTTAACTAATACTCTTTCAGCTTAAAGTATCAATTTTGAATTCTTGATTTATTTAATTTTATCTTAGATCACATAAGTACATCCTTAAAACACTCTTTTCATTTTGGTGTACAAACAATGAGATTACCCATAGTCCTTTAGATTCTGAAAAGGCGAATTGACATAATCTTTTAAAAAAGGTACATCGGATTTAAATTCTTCAGTAAAAACTAAGGTAATGAATAAGTACCCTGTTCACACATACCACTTCAAAATTGATATGTAAAACACGGTTTGTTAAATGAGTAGTCAACACAAACTGTAGTAGACATCTACTGGAATAATGAAATATCTTAATTGAAAATCATTTGAGTTACTTATGTTTATAGTGAAACTAAAAAACATCACCCTTTGTACAGATTGGGTATAAGGAGGTAAAGAGTATATATCAACAGGACAGCAATCTAACGACACAAATAACCATTTGATTGGAATGTCCTCTTAGAAATGAAATGGGAAAAGGTACACAATAAAACGAAATACCGAATTGCAAGATCAGTAAACTACTGTTGCATAAATTTAAACAACACATTCTGAGTTAAGTAACCCACTCCTAGACCGTGACGCCCAAAACCAAATATAGGATCTCCCGAAGTTTCAGATAAAAGCAAGACGATTCCAAAGTTGCAAGTAAAACCACGATATTTCATGCCAAAACTTTAAACCAGCTTTTCATTTCACTAGTTTGGCGGTTACTTCATAAGCCGTCAATTAAAATATTACTATATACTTTGAAGGATCAGATATCGATAAGTATTTATCAATAATAACCACTTATTGGCAGTTATAAAACATCTCCTTATTCCTATATAACCAAGCTTAGATGTGCAAGGGAGAAAACACATCAAACAAACAAAAAAATGAAAATATCCAAGTAATCCAAAATAACGAATAACATTTGGAACTTCATTGTAGTCAAAGTTATTGTATATTAAAAGTTCAATGTCCATATAAACTGACCTGTTGCGGAATAAAGGCAACAGTAGTATACCGCTGTTCCAAAGTCATAAATCGATTGAGACAAAAACAAATCGGGTTACAAACTAAAACCGAGGGAAACACATCAACTATAAGATGAAACAGACCGTTGAAACATAACCATTTGAAAAATTTCCTATTTAATGTCAAATTGCTGCCTTGGTACATGCACTCTGCATACAAAAATGACAAATCGGGTTTGAGCACGCTAGACCTTCCAATTGTACTGGACAACAGTAGTTTACCGATGTTTAAATCCCATAAGTAGATTACGATGGCAAATTTAACACAAACTGAGGGAATCGCAAGCACTCAAAAAAGGAGCGAGACCTAATGCATCGTCAGGATATCCATGTATAACCAGCCAAGCGAATCCTCGCTTTGTTAGAATATAAAAATCGGGAATAGGACATAATTATTTACATTACAGACTAGATGACTCTTCTTGCATCAATAAATAACTGGCATTCATGGGAATTAAATGATTATCAGTATTTGAACATCAGACCGGACGTCACTCAGACATGCAATACATTTCACCTGTATTGAAACGGATGCCCTGTAGCTAGAGTTACCGTATCGACCAACACGCATATATCTTTACATACCTCTACGCAAATATTTCATTTCACATACTCAATAAAAATGAATGCGATTGCGTATTTACACATCTCGCCCAATTAAGTATCAATATCTACAGGAATAGTTGTAGAGGTAAGAGGAGGATTGTTTGTAATCAAAATGTTATATTTTCAATGCTTTGATAAGCCAGTTTAACTACACATGAAACATAAAATCTCCCTAAAAACCTACCTGTAGTTGTTGGTATTTCTGTTGTTTGTGTGTCAGGAGCGAAAGTTTGTCCTGGCCGAAGTGTCAACGATTGTAAAGGATCAAATGTAGGACCTACAATATTTAAAAAAAATAAATTTTTTTCCTACTAAATAAAGGTGCTTTCAACCATTTGAAATTTGAATAAATAAATTCCAATATTTAATTCTTTTTATTCTCATTATAAACAATATAGTGCTATATTTAATCTTGTTTTTTGAGCTTGACAAGAAAATTTAACTTTCAAAAATATGGTTATGTTATAAATATGTAATTGTGATGATTAATTTACTTTTGACAGTAAACCTGTAGTATATTTTGTCAATATAACGGAACTATAAACAACTGTCATACAATTAAGAGATTTAGCTAGTTAAAAGACCAGTTCAACCCACTATTTTCTTCGGATAATGCCTGTACCGAGTCAGGAAAATGACAGTTGTTTTTCACTCGGTCCTTTGGTCGATAACGTTTGATTTTGTCAGTTTTTTTTTATTGAACTTCTCAATTTTAAATTTACCTTGGTGTTCAATATTTTTGTTATACCTTTTTTTCATTTCCTCCAAGCAAAAAAAACTACATAATATAACAATGCAAATTCTTAAGTACATAATTGGAATATTTTGATTGTGTAAAAAATATTATTTTTTCGTTCAATTACTGCTGTTTATATCGTTACATTCGATCTAGCTATTAACAAAAATAATGGACACCAAATATCAAATCTGCCCTCGTACTTCCTAAAATGAAAACCTGTATGCAATGAAAAAACGCATTATATTCCGTGCATATCAACTGTTATATGTCAATTTGAAATCTTTTTGTACATATTTTTATTAAATCTCACTGCAAAATCCAAAGGATTGTTTGGGTAATTTCACTGTGTGAACTCCAAAAAACAATATAATGTTATTTAAAAAAAAATAAAAATCAGGACATTGTTAATCAGTTACGACGGTTTGAAACGTTTGTATAATCTGTCGTACAATTTTTCGCTTAAATATTTTCGCCAATTTCAGATGTATGAGCAAATTTTTTATTTCGAATTTTTAATGTATTCTCCATCAATGATTATAAGAAAAGAACATTTTATTTTACAATATTGTGATATAATCAATGAATACTACTTGAACCATAACATACCTGACACAGTTGTTGTAGTCACTGTAAAAATGAATGGTGAAAGATTTACTTCTCAACTTGAAAACGCACGATGTTCTATGACTAAATTTGCAAAATACAATTTAAACCCTCAACATTTTACTGCGTAATGTAAATTGTATAAATAAAGGCAATAGTAGTATACCGCTGTTCAATATTCATACATCGATTTAACTGAAACAAATCCGGGTCAAATATCCAAAACCGAGGGAAACACATCAACTATAAGAGGAACAACAGAAACACTGAACTGCTTCAAAAACAAACGCCAACATACATAGAAACGGACTATTTGATAACAACTGCCATATTCCTGACTTGGATTAAGGCATTTTAAGAAAAAAATGGTCGGTTGAACCTGGTTTTACGGTTAGCCAAACCTCCCGCTTATATGGCATTGTTAAAAATACCGCTAAAATGGCAACATTACGTGACAAGAATACAGTATAAATAAACGAAAGAACACCCAGGACAGAGAAATACATAAATAAATAATATAATAGTGCATTACAACATGTGAACCACAGAATAACAACGAACACCTCAAATTAATCTACGACAGCACAATAGAATTATGAACTGTGCGTCACATTAGTTTATATATAAAGATAGAGTGATCAAACGGTATGAACACAAAACCATGGTTTCACACTTTCAAATATCCTACAGTGTGACCATATTTTCCTGGTACCTAATTCTGAAGTACCTTAAGGGTATACGATACAGTAGCAGGGGCAGATAATAACGTTTTCAAACTTTTCGTGTTGTTTTCGCGACGTTGTAAGTCAAAATGTTGTAATTTCGCGATGTTTCTAATAAGAACGATCACATTTCTCGACGTCGCTTTAGATGTAATCTCATTTGCGGAAAATCCACTGACGTCATAAATCCGGTAGCGCGAATTTGAAAAAAAAGTACCTGCTAAGAAAAGTAACCATATCATGAGAATTGTTATATTTATTCATTAAATTATGAGGTCATCAGTCTTAGCTAGAAAGGTATAAAAATCAAATCAACATTTATAATTTTGTATGTGTTTTTTTATTTGATATAGAAAATGAATAACAAGATATGTAGATACTAATACGTCAGTGAGACAGAAACCCAACTACACAAAAAGTCCAATAAGTAAATTAGATACCAACGTACTGTCTTGATCAATATATAGCATCCTTAACATTTGGTCATCTCTAAATTGTATGGAGAATTGTCATTGTACGGATAAATTTAATAGAGACTATTAACAAATAACAAAATAACATGATGAATAATAAATGGAGGACAACGCCTAATATTGTTCTTGGCTTTGAATAGGTACATTAAAAAGTTACGGAGTTTAACGGCGTTTTTAGAATTTAACCCAGTGGAATATATATATATGTATGAAAAAGAACTGTCAGTTAAAAAGCAAAGTTATAATAAACCCGGTATGATAGACTGAAACAAAATCGCACCGGTTGACGTGCTAAGCATATCCCCTCTTGTACATATTGAGAGAAAACAAAAGTCAAAGTATCGGCACACAGGAATTAGGTATCTGACAGACCAGACAAAGAGTTCACACGTTACAACTCATTGATGTCAAGCTGCTGACCAGGTTTGAAGTCATTCAGTAAAGAAGTTTCTCAGAAAAGAATCGAAGTACTTGTTGGACCACCGGACGGACGGACGGACTAACAAGGTAGTTGCAATATTGCACTAATCATAGAGTGGAGGTATATTACAGACAAGTATGTCAATAATCATATGTACCGTAATTCATAATACCATGATGAAAAGCTTAAGTAAATTAAACTAACTATTGATATAGAATCATGCCATGTCATGCCCTTATATCGACTGCTGTGTAACTTTCTATGAAATCTTATACTGCACCGTAATGGACAATTGAGACAATTATGACATGAATTTGCACGAAAAAGTTCCAAACATACACTTTTTAAACATGTCCAGTAGTTTCTAAGCTAACCCGAGATAATGTGGGTATGGTTGCGCGTAAATATAATACCTATAGAGTAGGCTGTTGGTTTTCTCGTTAGAATTATTTCACATTTTTCATGTCGGGGCCTTTTATAGCTGACTATATACGATATAAGTTTTTTAATTGTTGAAAGTCGTACGGTGACTTTTCTGGCTTTTATCTTCGTCATTTGGACTATGGTGGATAGTTGTCTCATTGGCAATCATACCACATGTCTTTATTTTTATATTATCCCACTTCCTTTATAATTGTTTCACATTTTTTCTTGTCGCGGCCTTTTGAATAATTAAAACTATGTTCAAGCTGTGTTGTCTACATGAATTATAGAACTAGCGTCGGACAGAGATGCAAAATAATTCTTTTATCAGATTAATCTTTTTTGTTTCCGAATATTTCAAAGTAATTTACTGAATACTTTTTAAGATGCTATATTTTGATTATGAAGAAATCTCTATCCAGTTTCTTAACACTTCATAAAGGCAAATATCTTATGCTATTTTACGAGTTCGCAGCTTTATAAATTTTGATGATGAATATCATTGCTTTAGAAACCACTTCGCTATACCACTTAACTTGACTGCGTAATCGTCTATGGCGGGAATGATTTCACGACGTTAATGCGATTAAAACTTATTTCAACGTAATTAAGCACTATATCGGCAAACGGGACGCTTACCATTAAAAATCAAGGTTTATGGCTTTAATTGAAAAAAACAAGCACATGGACCCCTAGTTTTTTTTCTTTTGCAATCAATCAAGTACTGTTTCAAGAACGCTTTGCCAAAATTTTAAGAAAAATCAACGATAGAACTTTTTCTGCACTTCTGTGTAGACTCAAAAATATTGTCAATTTCTTTATTTCACTAATAGTAATATAAATTCCGGAAAGAATTATTGGATTATACCGTAAACATGTTACAGGATGTTGTTGCCATGGATCAAGAGAAAATTTTACAAAAAAAAACGGTTAAATTACGACTGTTCGTTCAAAAGTATTGCTTCTTTCCCTAAAAGTCCTTTATCATGAAGTTTCAGGATTTTCCTTCAAATATGCAAATTTCAAACCAAAATATCTCAAAAAGTAAGTCATGAAGGTATTGTTTTCTTTGCATATTTTAAATGTACACGTTCAAATTGACCTTCTGTCAAAGTTTCAAGAAAAAATCAAAGAGGGATCTATACTGTATCTGTTGTTTGGAATGTTATCTTCAAAAGTCAATTGGGATATTATCATTATGATTCAAAATCCGATGCATATGTCTGCAGTGCTCTTCCGAATGAGTTAAAAGAGTTATTCTGACTAAAGTATGTAAGAATTGAATGATTTTATTCGCTGTTTTATAAGGTCAAGTGTCAACGCGTTTCCAATGTGCATACACTTACATCATGAATTTTTGGTTATGATGTTGACCTCTATATTGTTCATTTTTGTATATTGAGGTGTTGGTTGTTATCTCATTGACGTATATCCAATTTTCTTTTATGAATGTATGCATTTGTACAAAATCAAGTGATAACTAAATCTGTCAAGAAATTTTATAAGTAGCCATACCATTTTCACAATTAGTTCCTTCAAACCCAGCTGGACATATACATACATAAATATTGCCATCATCATAACAATGCCCAGCATTCTTACACGGATTGCTATGGCAACCTGAAATAAAACACAAATAAGCCTATTGTCTATTTTCTTAGTTTATTCATTTCCAGTCAATTCTTTTGTTGAAAAATTTTGGCATTTTGACAGCTTAAATGTTGGAAAAACCAAATAACTGTTGTGCATTGATTTTTTCCTAACAGTCAGATGAAAACCACCTGAAAGTTTCGTAATTAAAGTAAGGGATATGGTGTATTTTTATTTTATTGCTGTTAATAATCTTTCAGCAAAAAGAGACATTCAGCTCTGGTCAGAAATCCATGCACTACTGTTAATTTAAGACAGACCATATAACCGCTTGAGAAAATATCTATCAAATGTCGAAAACTGTTTCATTCGATTTGTGAATTGGTAAAGAAAAATACCAACAAACTACACGCTTGAAATGCAATCTAACAGTGTCATTATTTACCCTAAAATCTCATTTTTAAGTACAGGTAATACAAACATTAAGACAATCACGAGACGCGAAAGTAGTTCTTGGTCCCTATGTGGCATCCTTCGTGCTACTCAAGTTCAACTCCGGTGATAAGTCCTTTTCGACGATATCACAACCGAGAAAAAGAGGACTAGATTGCAGTTACAACAATTGGCATGTATCCGTGGTCATTTGTGACACAGATATTCCAAGACGACCAACCAACTCCCGATGGCGTCCTTACAACTTTCGAAGTGATGACTTCACCCTGACCACTTGGAAAAATTGGTGCAATAGCATCTGGGAATATTGTATTATTTGGGAAATATATTCTACATATGCTGAAATTTTCCAAATTGGCAAACTGAAATCATCCCTTTTGCCGTAAAGTTTGTTCTCAACCGACCCTTATTGTCAATTTCTTGATTTATTTGTATCTATGGTATCTTATATTTCAAGTTCGATGTGCTAAATGCGTCCAAAATATTCACCGAATTTGGGATTATTTATATATATAGTGAGAGGACATGGTCGATAGCGGAATGACGATAAAAATGACGGACTTGTTAAAGGAGTTGGTTCACTAACTCATAATTTTGGTCCTAAAAATCTGAAATTTTTCAAAACGAAAATGTGTTAAAAATTTGATGAAAACACATGCTAAAATGTTCAAAAATTCACAGCTAAAAAAAAATTCAATGGGCGAGGAGTGGTGCGACATATAAAATCATGAAATAAGGTTGAAAAAGATGAAAACTTCTAAGAAATTGATGAAAATGAAATCTTTTCCCATTTTAGGCAATATCTTTATAAATATGATGCAGATAAACAACTTTTTCTTGATATACTTTCAAATATCATACATTTAGCAATACATACACATTGGATTTACTTTGGTAATTAAAGTTTTAAAACAGCACCTGTACAGGGCTATTTATTGGGGTTCTTGGCTCTACTCCTTTCAATGCAAAAATACAGCGCTTTTATTTATATTCGTCTTCTAAAAGTCACAACAAAACCTTCAATGCATACCATCAGTGTAAAATCGTACATCTAACATCATACATTGTAGATATCGAAAGTGTGGCTTCGCATGGCGGGTAGTGCAGCCATAGTATGACACCCTATTTTGTCGACGCACCCGGTCTCTCTCCTTTCTCTCAGTTTTTGTATGTGCCTTCTTAAACAATTCATGAGATTTGATTATCTGTGACCTAATGTTGCCTATCATTTGTAAGATGAAGATAACGTTTCATGTATTCAAAAACAATCTTTTATCTCTCTCATTGTAAAATGGAGATTGAAGCAAAACAATTATTCAGACAACCACAGCACATCAAAACACTTTTTAGATAACTTGGTAGTGTCTGACACAGTCTAGATATCGCATTTGAAAGCTTAATTTGTGCGACGATTGTGCAAAAAGTAAGTTTATTTTTTTTTGTACATTACTGACATGATGACATCATAGTTGTGCGACACGATAAAAAAAAATCTTTTTAGTCTGTTCCTGAGGTAGAAAATTCTTAGTATTTAAACAACTCAAAGTGTTTTAATCAATAAATGTATAAATACATGTGTATGTCCATATCAATGATAACGAAATTCAATTCATATAAAAGAAACGATAATTAGCATTTTTTTACAAAATACATCAACCTAAGTTAGACTTGTTTTTGTTGTTGTTGTTGTGAAGTTTTCGTTTCTACTTGTTTGCACTTTATACGTATATTGTGTCCACTTTACATGATATGAAATGCTAAAAATATCGCTGAGGTATTCGAATATATATAAGAAGATGTGGTATGAGTGCCAATGAGACATCTATCCATCCAAGTCACAATGTGTAAGCCCATTTTGGAGACATAGTACTCCAATGACTGCTATCTTCTAAGAACCTAGCCTCTCGTTTTTTATTTTTTTCAATTTGTGTTGTTTTGTTCGATGAAGATGGGATTAACACACAGTTTTAATATTTGTTTATCTGTCAGTTTTGATTGTTTCGGTTATTGTGCTGATCCTGATTTACGTGATGCAAAATCTACCATTGATGTATCAGTCTTCATTCACAGATAGTAAATATATAAAAATAAGGGGATATATCTCTATTTCAGTATTGCAAATGAACCAATTATTTCTTTTATATGACGTGTGATGAAATCTAATTGCAGAATTCTTTACATTGTACTTACCTTCTAATTCTATAAGAGAATGAAAATTAAATAATTTAAAATAAATAATGCTTTCCCCTAAAATACATATAGCTGGTTGTAATAGTTATAAAAAAAGCATACCCACATGTGTCATTCTGTTAATTATGTCTTGTGCATTGACTCCTAAATTAATGATCTTAAATGTAGGGATTGTTAAAAAATGTTAATTTCTTCAAACGATATGCATTTCATTAAAACATCTTTTATTCATATGAATGATTTTATAAATGAATTATTTGACCGGTTGAATAATTGTTAATCAATTGAAAGTAAAAGAAATGAATGAATTTACAGTTTATCTTGTTGTGTTTTAAATTAGAATTTAAAACATGAAAAGCAACAATCATAAATTTACAATTTTTACATTTCGATAATCGTGAAGGATTAAATAATATTGATAAAATAAAAAAAAAGAAATATTGAACAGGTAAATAGTTCCAATTTTAGTAATAGGCATAAAACAATTTCAAGCAATTTAACCCAAAAGACTCATCAACAATACAACACAGGTGGCCATCACAGTCTATAAGACATATGCCAAATTAAAATGTTGACACAATAACGTTTCAACATTCATTAACTTATAAGATATTTGACTGTAAGTCGCCGGCAAGAACTGTTCGAATTGTATTAGATTGAAAGTATTACTGTATAATTAAGGAATTTTGCATCTTGCAGTTTGACAATTTCATCTTCAATAATGACTATTTTCTGTCCCAAGAAAATTTTGAATCCAGTTAACCATTGATGACTAGTGAGATTTCATTTTTTAACGTTTGACATAATGAAAATCGCAAAGGTTTGAAAAGACATATATTTTAAATATTCGATTGAAAAAATCCTGTTGTTGGGACTGAAGTGATTTGCCATTGACATGCGTTTTAAAATACCAGTTAATAAAAGCCTGAATAGACATTAAGGTTGCAACATCCTCTTACTGTGCAATTAAAACGTACATTATAACGACAAACTTAGAGAGGCACTTTCGAATCGGCGTCAAATTTATTCAATCGTTTTTTTCATATTGTATACCAAAACACCAACCTTGTTCACAATGTTTGCCTGCATATCCACTGGGACAGTAGCAAAAGTAATCAGCACCATTTGGTAAACATACTCCACGAACACATGGCCCAAATGCACAGACTAAAGAGAAGACGTATATTTTGTTACAGGCATTTTTGAAACAATTAATTTATTGTACGATTCTCATGGGCACGTAATTGGTAAGTTTTGCAATATTTATATATATATATATATATATATATATTGCGACATTCTTTGTTTCCCAATGCATCTTGAAGTCCGTTTTCGGATTATGACAAATTATTACACATATAAGGATCAAATATAAAAATATATCAAAGGCATTACAGCTTTAGCAGAAAAGACCTCAATAAAGCTACATATATCCGAAATTTATTTCGTTCATAGGAGTTCCTTATCGTTTTAAAATGTTTCACGTCTACATTAGGTTTGGAATATTTTGATACATATGTCAACAAACATGCTTTAAATCTATTTTTACTGATAAAATGGAGTGGATTAATAACTGACTAACTTGCAAGATGTAGTTGCTTTGCGCCTTTGTTGAAGTGTATCATAAACTTCTATATAGATCTATGTAAATTCAAAACAAACTATTTCGTATTGTAATAGCCAATCATATTTTTATTGATAATTATATGTATATCGTTTTGTACTAGCCAACCATGTGTTTGTTTATGTGTAGATAGCGTATAATTTCCATGTGAACATTATTATCTAATGAGGAAATAAAGCTCAAATGGGGTGATACTTTAGAAGAATAATAATTTTGTTAGTTTGAAATCCAAAACGATATGTTTGGTACTAAAAACAAAAATAAGACACAACAATACAAGCATGTAACAGTGATAAAATATTTCAAATTTTTAATATGTGAACAATAACCTTCCTTTCACAATAGCATTGAAGTTATAATTAGATATTTTAGAGCAGATCTTAATTAGATTACTATCTACCACTATAATAATATTTATAAACTATGAGTCGACGAAAAGAGAAGAGAAAGATCTATCATTGATATACATATAAGACCATACATGCAAAAATACAAAATTCCTGCAAATATATTAAGGTTGTGTCTATCATTTCACTTTTGCCAATAACAATAGTCTTAAATCGATCAGATTTTCACAAGACAAAATCAAATCAAATTTATTTCCATTATCAAACATTTTATTCTTTAGTTATTTAGTTGTGAGCACATTATTGCAAAATTAAATTCCTCTCAAACTCTATCTTATATAGAGGTCAAATATTATTTTCTACAACAGTTTTATTATTTCGTCCACATTCAATAGCTAGCATACTGTATTTCTTCTTATTTTGGCAAAGTTATTCTTCTATATTCAATAACAGAGTTTTTTCGAGTTTGTACTTAACTTTCAATTTCTGTTACTTCTTAATCTTTTCTTTTTTGTTATTTCTTAATCTTTTCTTTTTTGTGACTTCTTAATCTTTTCTTTTTTGTTACTTCTTAATCTTTTCTTTACATTGAATACAAAATTTTCCATTTGTGATATTTGTGAATCTCTGTAAAAAAATCTTAACATTAACATATTTTGTATGAGTGCAACGAATACAGTTAATAAAAGCTAGTCCAAAGCCCATTTCCAACTTCCATTTTTATGATACTATAAATATAGCGTACTTACTGTCCACTTGTTTACCTAGGTTTAATAAAAAAAAAAACCAATAGAACATACACCAAGCTTGTTAAGTTAATATCGAAGCTGGTAGTGTAAATGGTAATGGTAGAGCTCATATACAGCATAACGTCAACATCGAGATGTTTATTAAAAAGATAGATAAGTAAATATTGTGTTAACAATGTACAATTATACATTATCAGCACAGAAAATATTCAAACAATGTTTAATCATGAGAATGGACACATTTATTGCACATCCATTTCACTGGGAGATTTATGTTTTTTTGGGCACGGTTAGAAACTTGTGAATTTGTTTTATTTTGAGTTAGTTTCTGTATATGTTGTTAATGTTTATCTTTCCCTATTTTCTCTATACCGGTATTACTTATTTTGATTTGTTTTTGTTTCATTTAAAAATTTTACAATATTAAACGAATAAGCATTACTCATATAAATCAATCTTCTAACAAAAGATTGTACACCAAATTAAGATAAAGTTAGAATTTTCAAATTGGCATTAGACAGAATGACAAATAATAGATTGAAGTTATCTATCTGTAGGAAAAAAATACAACATGATATTATTAATTCTATGTTTTTAAGGGACTGTGAGTACAAATTTATCTTGATAAATTTATTCTGTAAGGTTATCAATTTAACACGGTTTTGTTTCCATTTCACTATTTCCACACCAAAATGACAATAATGTTAAAAGCGCATCGGACTCTAGTCACACTTCACATATATAAAGTGTTACACTCATTTTTTTCTTCTAAAGAAAACGTCAAACGTCTATTCAAAGATAAGGACCAATGAGTTTTGAGCTCTACTTAAAACATTTCCGTAAAATTAGCACGTGATATTCCGTTCAACAGGTAAGAACAAATGAAGCCGGTATAAAATGTAAAATACTTACTGGTAGTCTCAACTGTAGTGGTGGTCATCGTTGTTGTGGGTAGGACATGGACTGAAAAAAAGGGGTTTCGTTATATAAAACGATGGATGTAAGATTTGTTTATGCTGACAGAATCTCCGGCGTCAGCAGAAACTTAATGAAATTAACAAATTTAATCTAATATTCCTTCAGAATAAACTGATTTTCAGTATATTTCAAGTAAAAAAATTATGAAGATTTGTTATAAGCAGACAGAACTATATACACTTATGTTAAAATGAGATTGTATCACATTCAATAAGTCATCAACGTATTATTTTTTTGATTCCATCATAACGCTTTACTTAAGAATAGCATTACACTTGCTCCAGCTGCAGCTTGTTGTATTTGTGCTAGTATTGCGTGTTTCAATTCTCCATAGCTTGTGTCTACTGAATTAATTAACGCGAAATCACAATCTTTGGTCAATTAATTGTTCTGTAAGGGTTTTATTCAGTCTCAAATGCAAAATATAAAAATAATAAGATGTGTTCTGTCATCTTACATGCGGAGTCATAATAATATAAAAGACTTCGGTATCGGTGATATAATTTGATAAAAACTTTTCGATGAGTTATTAATAGTGAACGTGTTATCTCGTAATCAGATATTTTATTCATTACCGTCGGGAGGGAATCTTGAATTACCTGGTTTCAGTATCATTCCTTATAAATAATGTCCCTATAAAACACAGCATATTTGGCTTTTTTTAAGTAAATGTTGGTTGTTAAATATATATACCTTAATCATAAATCTATGAATGAGAGAGTATCAAAAATACAGCTGCCAAACAACACTATGAAGATAAGATTGTACCTACATACCTTCACATCGAGATCCAGTATACTGTGACTGACATTTACAGAAATACCCACTGTGGTCATAGTAACAATGACCTCCATTTTGGCATGGTGATCTTCCACACCCTAAAATTTAAATATGATTAGAAATATTGTATTAGGCCACTTGTTTTAATGCAATATCATATTAAAACAATATTCGTGTTGCTTAGTCTTTAGTTTTCTATGTTGTGTCATCTGTACTATTATTCAGTTTGTTTTCGATCTATGAGTTTGACTGTCCCTCTGGTATCTTTCGTCCCTCTTTTAAACAAATTTTTGATTGGATGAAGTATAACGTCAATTTGAGATAATTTTGTATTCGAACACAGTACTTTAAAGTTTTATTTAGAGTCGATATTCCATAAACTACATAAACACAAGCTCTAGTTAGCTTTTCAAATTGACTTAATAAACTAGTACTGTTCTTTCGATTATGTTGCAGTAGTTGAAAAATATTCAATTGTGTTTTTAAATACCCCGGAAACGTAGATTGCGATTACACAACGTCGTAGCGAATTAATCCGACCGTAAACCATGGAAATGGCAACAGGCAGCATCCCATCAAAAGTGGCATATAAAACCGCGACACAAATAAAACTGCATTTCCTATCGTCAAACCACCAACTGTGGCATCTTTTAAAATATAGCACTCGTATTCCTTAATTTTAAATTATTTTCTTTGCTTAAATGACACACCCTCTCTGACATAATGGTCAATTTAACCAATATTCAGCGTTGTGAAAATCGTACTTGACATGTTTATCTTCAAAAGAAACAAATGTTTATGTTATTGTGTTTTATATGATTCCTTTTAATTCTTGATGTAATATTTTTTTCATTAACTGATTTTCTCATTGATATGGACTGGTCTCATTTTGTCAACTGAAATGACTTTTTGAAAATATTATTCTGACCTACTTTTTATCTCTTTTAGAAAAATGATGTGGTTTGATTAACAATGAGACAAATAGCCACAGAGAGACTAAAACACAAACACGTATTTAATTAAAGGGCATCATATAAACGACTTCTATCAATGGCAAAAC